TCTCCCTCCTGGGTGCCGTGCGGGGTGCTCTCCCTCCTGGGTGCCGTGCGGGGTGCTCTCCCTCCTGGGTGCCGTGCAGGTGCTCTCCCTCCTGGGTACTGTGCAGGGTCCTCTTCCTCATGACCGCTCTGTGCATCCTGCTGTTCGTTCTGGCTGCTGGGGCCCAGGCCTGGTGGCTCTGCATGCATGCAGCAGGAAGCCAAGGCCCTGGGCGTCCTCCTCAGTCTGGGGCACAGCCCCGCAGGGCCTGTGTTGCCTGGAGAGGAGGCCCGGCCCTAGGCACGTGGTGGCCAGAGCCCAGGGGCCTGGGCTTGCCAGGAGGCTCTCGCAGCTGTAAAGCTTATCGCTAATCCAGGGCAGTACCTCTGCGCTGTCATGGGGAAGCCAGGAGCCAGACTCCTGGCAGCCCAGGTTGGGGGTCTCCTATCCTTTTGGGGTGAGCTCTACCGCCCACACATGTTCTACCTTCCTGGAAGCCCAAAGTGAGACCCTCGCCTGAAAGGGGGGACCCCCAAACCCTGCTCCTTGGAGGAAGCCTGGGCAGGGTGGCCCTGAGTATGGCAGGGAGTGGGCCACACCGGCCAGGGACTGAGGGGTACCCAGAGGGGCATGGAAGGCCTGACCTTGGCCAGCTGCACGTCCTTCCTGCCAAAGGCTGTCACACGCCCGCCACAGGTAGCAGGTGATAGGCAGACCTGCTCCTGTCACCACTTCTTTCCTCCGTTCCGCCCCTCACAGGACACTGGCGAGCATGATGCTAGGGGCTGGATGGGTGTCCAGGTGGCCTCCAGGCCTGTGTCCCTGGGGCCTTGCAGTCACCAGGAGAGATGACCGCTCATCTCTCCGCTGCTATCCCTGGAGGTGGCCTCAGTGCTGGTTGACTGCAGAAGGACGGGACAGGGGAGGCCATTTCCCTTCTGTTGGCAAGGGACGTGGGCATCCTGCAGGGCAAGTTGGGAGCTGTCATCTCTAGCTGAGAGGCTCTAGGGGTTCTGTCACCAAAAGGAAGCAGCAGAAAGGACAGTGGCTAGCAGCAGTGGCCTGGGGCCTTGGGAGGAGGCAGCCACGAAGCTCTCCAGGGAGCGGGGAGGCAGGTGGCTTTCTAGCACTCTGGTGCCTGCAGTGGCTGTGGTGGCCAGACAAGGAGGAGCGGTGCTGATGGCTCTTCAGTCTCTGGCTGGCAGACCTGACAGGTTGGACTGGAGGCTCTGGACTGTCATGCTGCAGATCTGCTGGAGCTGAGCCCTCTTAGGAAAACTGTCACTTGTCATCTGCGACTTCTCCCCAAGAGCACATTCCTGCAGCTGTGTGGTTGTGTGGGCTGGAGCTTCAGGAACTTGATGGCCACAGAGAGCACGAGGGTCTCTTGTGTCCACGCTGCATGGCAGCACCTCCGGCCTGGATGAGGGGACAGCATTGCCTCTCACTGTGGCCCTCCTGGGGGCACACTCGTCCGTGCCAGGCTGTGCCTCCCGTGCTAGCAGTGGGAGACTGCCTGCACCACCGGCTGGTCTGCGTCTGCCTGGCTACTCTGGCCATGGGGCAGCCGTGGCCTGTTTAGAACTGAGCTTCCTGTTCTGGCAAAGTCCTGGAATCTGAGTGGCCTGCTCACTCCCTCCAGAAGGGGGCAGCAGGTTGCAGAGGGGCGGAGTGCCTGCCCACCAGCTGCCAGGCTTCTCAGACTGGATCTGAAGCTGAGTCAGTAGTGGTGTCCCAAAGTTACTGCAAGGGTCCCGCAGGCTCTGGGGACACCGTTAGGGTTTGGCCTGCAGAGTGCCTGTCTGTGGAGTTCTCGAAGGCGCCTAGGTGACAGTCGCCAGCCTTGGCCTCCTATGTGTTGTCTTCATGAGGCACACGTATGTCTACCTCCACTGGAGCCTCTGGCCCTGTGGCCAAGGGCAGGGCCTCTTCCACTGTCCTTGCTGTCCCCTGTACTCTGAAATTTAACACAGCTGCAAGCTGCTGACATTTGTACACTGTTCCCTTTGGGAAGGGACATCCACGCTGTCTTTTGAGAAGGCATCTTGGCCTGGCTTCACCTGCCGATACCCAATCTCCTGTCCTCCGATGCCTCTGGAACACGAGCTTTCTCGGGCACAAGGACTGGACTGTAAATAGTTGGCCTTCGGCCCTGGACACAAGGGAGGGCAGGTCAAGCCGTGGCTTTCCAGCTGCTGCCAGCAAGCTCACAAGTGACACAGGGTCTTAGAGGAGGTTTTCTCTTTTGTGGACTGTTTCTGTCCCCACCACCAGGCAGCGTGAGGACTCTAGCAGATGCCAGCCTGCTGTGCGGTGTCACTCCTGGTGTGCTCCCAGCCTGTTCCTCCTGGGCCGGGCCGTGCATCCCTGTGTGGCTACTGCGCAGTAATGGTTGAGTCTGGCTGAGAGGTGTCCCTAACTGGCACCAGACTCCTTGGTCCAGGCCCCTGTGTTGGGTGGTGGCTGAGGGGTGGCCGGGAGCCTCTCCCAAAGGGGGCTGTGGCACACAGTTGTGTGCTGGAAAGTGAGCAGGGGACGGTGCTTTTGTGGGCCACCTTGAGCCTGTGCATGTTGTTCTGCTGCAGTGGCAGTTGAGAAGTCAGGGAAGTCCCCTGCCCCGAGCCATGCTGCTGCTCTGCCTGGGAGGCCCTGCCCTCTGCTCCATGTGGACCTGCGCGTGGTGACAGGGCCGTGCTGGGCTGGTTTCAGCTGCTGCCATGTCGGGGTGCTTGTGCAAATTTCCACCTCCGGTAGAGCAGCCTGGGCAGTGTGCTGCGCCCTCCAGGATGGAGCTGTGAAATCGGAACTCTCATTTGCTGAGCTGTAACTCTCTGCTTCATCTGGGGGAAACCTCCTGGCCTCATGATGGTCCTGTTGAGCAGCGGGACTCTGCTGGCTTGAGTGGGAACCTGTGGGGAGGGCGGGCCCGCCTTGACCATAGGGGACAGCTCTTTACACCCCCTCACGCTCTCTTCCTACCTGTTGCAGGGTCTGGTTAGACACAGAGGGTGCAGCGATTTGGGCAAGTCCCTGGCATGGCTGCTCTGGGTGCAGTGCTGCCTGCGTCCCTGTTCCGCCACCCTCCTGGCCTTGAATGCAGAGCGAGGGGGAGGAAGGGCCTGACCTCCCTGCATTTGGAGTTCTGCCTCCTGTTGCTTAGCCCGTTCTGCCCAGGGCCCTTCCTGCTCCTACTTGCAGCCTTGCCCACCACTGCCGCCGCCACTCATTCCTCTGAGCGCGCTCAGGAGACCTGGCTGCCCTCTGATTTGATTCCTTGTCCCATTTGATGCATACCGGCACCCCATGTCCAGCCTCGGCACCTGCCTTTGCCCATGCTGCAAGGTGGTCCATCCCCCGGTGTATCCCTTCTGCCCTCTGTTCCTTGTGGAGGACAGGACGACGAGCTTGTGCCGTCCCATCCTGTGCACGGCACACCTCCAGGGCAGCCTTGCTCCAGAGTGGCGGGGAGGATGTTCAGTGCTGGTTGTCCTTTCCTGTGCAGCAGCTGCGTGCACCTGGGGGGCGGGGCGCTCTCCCTTTCTAGGTCGGCAAGGCCACCGCTGCCCTTGTGACTGCTTACTGCGGTAGGTGGCTGATGCCAGGAGTGGCCAGTGGCTGATTGACACCCGTTAGTAGTTCAGTGCTCTGGGCTTCTCCTTTGATGCATGAGCAGCAGGGTAGAGAAGTGGAGTACCCTGGTTACCATCGCACTGCACTTCGAGGGCTGTGTTAGTGTGCTTCGGGTGAGTTGGCCTCCATCCTACAGGCTCCCCTATACCCTGGGGCCAGGCACGGGTGGGTTCAGGGTAGCTGTGCATGGACGGCGGCCACCCCCAGCATGGAGTCAGGTACTGAAGCACCCAGGAGGTGGAACTGGAGAAGCACGGCGACCGAAGTTCTGGAGGCGAGATTAAGCGCCAGGGTGTCAGAGAGTTGGTGTGCAATCCAAGCCTCGAAGGGGCACCTGTTGGCATAATGCTTGTTGCCCCCAGGAGCATAAGGGTTGCAAGGACAGGACCACTACTGCTGTGTTCTGTCATGTCTTCTGGGCAGGTAGAAGGAGGGGTGGAGAATGGACAGATGGGTTAGTGCATTCAGTGCTTCTAGCCAACGGGAAGGCTGAGTGGTGAAAGGGGGAGGAAGAAGTTAGGCGTGCAGGCTAGATTACAGCTGCTTGGCTGAGTGTGCGGTGTGTGAGGCGGGTCCTGGGGCTGAGGGCGCCAGCCTGCAGGCTCTCCTTGCCTGAGAGTGGGCGCTGGCAGCAGGTCCTGGAGCGAGCCGCGTTGTTCTAAGCTTACATTTCGTTTAGTGTCACCTGACCCAATAGCAGTATGTGTGTGGGGCACAGTCACATCCGGCCCTGCTTCTTATGCATCACACCATGATCAGGTCGGTCAGCACCCCGCTCGCGTCTCTGTGTTGAGAGCATTCACGGTCCTCTCTAGCAGGTGTTCTGAAACGCACCGCGTTGCCCCCTCAGCAGCCCCAGTGGCCAGCGCGCTGCGGCGCTCTGTAGTGACCCTTCCTGCCCAAGTGCACCGCATAGCTGTTGGGTTGTCCTCCGTTATTTTAAATCTTGGAGTGCAGTTACAGTTGGGAGAAGCCCGGATGTGGGCACATGTGGACATGCGAGTGGAGACCCCAGCTCCTGCCTGGCCCAGCCAGGTGACCCAGCGGGCCACCGCGGTTCTGGCTCTCATTCTCTGTTCTCTTGGTCCCCCAGATGTGTGCAACAGTACCAACCTCCCCGAAGTGGAGATCATCAGCCTGCTGGAGGAACAGCTGCCCCATTATAAGCTGAGAGCTGACACCATCTATGGTTACGACCACGATGACTGGCTCCACACGCCCCTCATCTCCCCAGATGCCAGCATCGACCTCACCACCGAGCAGATTGAGGAGACGCTGAAATACTTCCGTAAGTCACTGTGCCTCTGTGCGGTCCAGCAGCATGTGGGCCAGCCCTCCCTGGCATGCTGCAGGGAGGCCTTGGGCAGTTGCTGCTCCTGTGGCCTGCCACCTGTGAAAGGGGGCCGAAGAGTGTGGCCGGAGAGCTTAGCCGTGTACAGGTCTTGGTGTTAGGTGTCCTGAACACAAGTTTAGGGTTGTGGGGAACAAGTAGGATTTTCGTTTGAACCCACGTTCTGTTAGCTCTACAGATGAATTTGGAAATGATTCTGTGTTCCCTTCTTCCCAGTGCACCATTTGTCTTAGTTACTTTTCTTCTTGCTGAGACAAAATGCCCTACTCTCAAGGTCGAAGGAGGAAGGTGTATTTAGCTCACAGCGTGTGCAGCTTTTAGTCCACACTTGGCTGGCTCCGTGGCATCACAGAAGAGAAACAGCGTGTGGCGGGCAGCAGGCGGCTCTGTCTGTCCCTCGTGTTCTTTCTGGCCACCCAGCCTTAGGGTGGCGGTTCTCACACCTGGAGGCCCAGGATCCTTCATCCTAGCCACAGCCTTGCCAGGCCGTCAGTCGACGTCACGCTGAATTCCAGCATCACACACTAGCCCCACTATGGTGGTGTGGCTTTGGGGCCGCTGCGTACGCTGTGCGGCGAGACCCTGAAGCTCGGGGGTGGGGTGGGGGAAGGGCTTTGTCCATTGAGAACCACAGGCTTTAAACGTGAGCCCTCAGCGCAACAGTGCACAGCACTCGGGCACCCCTGTCCCCACCCCTCCCACAGGGGGCCCACTGCCGTCAGAGCTGAGGGCCTGCTCTGGGCCTGCGGTCCTGTGGGCTGTGTGTGATCTTGTACACACGTGTCACTCCGGAGGTGTGTGACTCAGTGTGTGGGACCCTCGCACTCATCTGCCTGGCACCTCGAGATGGGCGCTGGGGAGGCAGGCGTGAGTGTCACGGAGTGGCTGGTGTGTGCGGAGCTGCTTCCTGGGGTGAGCGGCAGCCTGGACCCATTCTCCCCAGCATGAGCTGGTACTGTGGCGGGCGTGGTGCTGCGCGCTGCAGACTGTGTATTTACCACGTGCCTTTCGAAAAATGATTTCACTCTGAAATTCATGCGGCCCCTCATTTATACATCTGGTATCACTGTGTCACCTTGAAAAAGGAGTACAGCAGACCCACTTCTCTGCTGGTGTAGCTGGGTCCCCAAGTGGCTTAAAATGATCTCCAGAGTTTTCTGTAGTTGTCCTCAGCAGTACAGATCAGCCTTTCCAAGTTCCTTGAATCTGTGAGCTCATTTGTGTGCATTAGCTTCTGCTCTCGGGTGTCTCCAGGTGTTGCTCTAGGAGCTGCTCCTGAGGACGCGGGTTGGTTCAAGTGGACCTGTGTCTGGCGCAGACTGTGCCTCTGTGCGAACGCTGTAGGAGTAAAAGCAGCCCCCCACCCGGCTGGGTGTCTTGGGGCCCAGGAAGCTCTCTGCGAGTCACTTCGGTGGACAGGGCATTGGTGGCAGGTTCTGAGAGAGCACTCACCTGAGCTCCTGGCCTCTGCCGGGCCCGCCGAGGTTCTGGGGCTCCAGGCCCCGCTCCTGCCGGTCCGTCGCTCACCCTCGCAGCGTTTTTGCAGCACAGCCGGGGCAGCCACTCAGTTTTGCCTCCTGGCTCCCCGGCTTTGCTCTCTGGTGTGCGTTGAGTGCCTCCTGTCTTGGACAAAACGGGAGTGTGGGCGCCTGCTTACTTATTCCCTGACATGACCCCGGTTTCTAGCTGGACTTGAGCAAGTTATGTCTTTCATGTGCTTAGTTTTTAGTTACATATTTAAGGAGAAAAGATCCTACTGGATTTGGCAGGGGACTACACAAGTTGCAGTAAAACTAGAACTGCAGCAAATGGGCAGAGGGGCCCATGTGCTAACTCATGCGCGGTTGCCTGCCTGCCTCCCTCCTGGTCTCCGTGGAGCGCAGTGGGTATTCGCCAAGTGTCTGCTAATGTACAGTCGAGCACTAACTCTTCACTGAAATCAGGGGTCTCCGCTGAGGCCCTGGACCCAAAGGGCCAGCGAAGACAGTGTAGGCTTGTGTGGACTTAAGGAGAAAGCTGAGTCTGTGCCCCTTGACTCCTCACTGAGGCTCCGCCTTTGCTCCCATTGCCAAGGTAGGCGGTGGGCACGGCGCCGCAGGCCTGCGCCTCTGACCCCCGTCAGGGTCTCGGGTGTCTTCACACCTGCTCCAGCAGAGGCAGACGCTCCAAAGTGAGCCTTCACCTGCCTGCTTGGAAGTCACGTTGGCTGCCAGATGTGTGGTAGACGCTGTGGTTTAGTGCACTGATGAAGAAGCGCTGGCGTCTCAGGCCACGTTCTGGTCATATCACAGACTCTTCAAGCTCTGGCCACCACACTAGTGCAGCTGTCCCTCCTCCTTTGCAGTCCTTTGCACTTTTCCATCATCAGCGCTTTCCTCCTCCAAGAGGTCAGTGAGCCTGGCCATACCAACAAGGGCCTGCTAGAAGGCCAGCTTCAGAGCCCTGCTCTGGCCAGCGGTCCTGTGGGTTTTGTGTACACGCGTGCACCCTGGACACGTATGACTCCCATGTGTGGGCACCAGGACCTCGCTTGTGCTGGGTGACTTTCTGCATCTTGGAGTGCAGTGGACCTGCTGTGGGAGGGCGTGGGTGGGGTGCTCGGGAGCATGCTGTGGGAGGGCGTGGGTGGGGTGCTCAGGAGCCTGCTGTGGGAGGGCATGGGTGGGGTGCTCGGGAGCCTGCTGTGGGAGGGCGTGGGTGGGGTGCTCGGGAGCCTGTGCTCTCCCCCGCTGGACACCCTGGATGGGAAGACGGGCCACACCTGCCTGTGGCAGGCGGACTCAGAGCAAGTGCAGAGCCCCTGTGCTGCCCTTCAAACCTGTCCCCTGGGCTTGCTAAGAACAGGGAGAGGGCTCTAGGCTGGCACTGGTGGGAGAACAACCTTCTCAAGAGTCTGCCCTGCACAGCCAGGTGGGCTGAGCTCCCCAGGAGACTGAGGAGTCCAGGGGGTGCAAGAGAGCCGCACAGCAAGTGGGCATTTGGGATGAGGTGGGCAAGCAGGAAGGACAGTCAGCTTAATGCTCACTGCGCGCCGGGTCATGCGAGGGCTTATCCTGCGCCTCCTTCAGTCCCGCAGTGACCTCCGCCTCATGCTGCGTGACCCATTCTGCAGCTGGGGACACTGGGGTTTGGGAGTAGGCAGCTACACAGCTAACAAAGGGGGATGCTGATATGCAAGCATGGGCTATCCGGTCTGACCCCCTCTTTGTCACTGTCAGAGAGTGGGGCAATATTGTAGCTTAGCAAGCTTCCCTGGTGGAAGAAAAGCCCACAAGAATAACCCCTAGCTTCACAATGCATTAGCAGCTGGCTTATTTCTAAGATGTGAGCCCAGTGTGCACACAGATGCTGCGGCTCGCTCACCCAAGCGGCACCTAGACTGTCATCTGAAAATAGAGTTGCATTTACTGTGGGTGTCACCGTAGTCCTGGTGGCCCAGTCATACTTCGCACGGCAGGTGATGATAACTAAGCGTGCACTTGGACTTCTCTAGCCACCTGTGCTCAGTAGCTCCTGACAGGAAGCTTGCTGGGTTGGTTGTCAGCTGCGGCTTCTTTTGGGTCCTTCTAGGGGCGCTGGAGGTGACTTTCTGGCTCAGGAGCATTGGTGAAGGTCACACAGCTCCCGGAAGTAGCCTGCGGGCTGTGCCCTCTCAGGCTGCCCGTGACTGCTCCCCAAGGAGAAGAGAAGGTCACAGGCAAACGAGAGCCGCAAACTTTGTCCCCTTGTTCTCCATGAAGCGCTGCTGCGGAACCAGCTAGAGTGCGTTTGCCAAGGGCCAGCAGGCGCTGCGCTTCTTGGAGAGCTTGACCTGTTTGAGTTTCAGCTGTGGGTTTTTAACCAAGGAGATGAAAACATCTGCATTCTTGATTCTCTTCCAGGGCCTAGCCCAGGACTTTGCCCTGGGCTGGACCGATGCGGGAGCGCGCAAGGCCCTTGCTGGCCTCCAGGCAGAGTTGCCTGCTCAACTTGTGGGGTGGGGGAGGGTCTGGGAAGCCACATGTTAAACCAGCTTTCCTGACCATTTTAATTTCTTAAAATGAAATTTAAATAAACTATAAGGACCACTGAAGCAGTCCAGCTGTCCTTGTGCACGGGGCCAAGGCCGAGGCCTGGGCGCAGCGACGGGCTGAGCTCCTAGAGCAGGCCGTGTGGGGCAGGCATTGTGTGCAGGGCTCCCCATGCCTCTGGCGCTCTGGCAGGGGTGTCATGCCCTGCTCCCGTGGTCACAAGGCCGTGCATCCACCCATGGTGCGAAGGGGAGCCCGGTGCAGACAGCGCTTGGCCCCGAGGAAAGGCTGCGTCCAGTGGGGCCAGGCAGGCGGCTCAGGATTCTGCTGCTCACCCCGCTGCTCTGGCAGCTTCCAGCCTGCCCTCGTCTGCAGACATGGGTCCCTTGCAGCCTCAGGCGGTGGCAGGTCCTGCTGTAGACGCTGGCGTGCCTGGCTTGTCCCTCTGGCCTCCTCTCCCTGGATGTGTGTACAGCCACACACACAAGACGTGCGCACAGTGAGTCGTGTGCCGGAAGTGGGTCTCTCCCTCCTCACACGCTCGCTCACCGTCACCGTGCCTTGTCCGTCCCGGCCCCTCGCCCTGACTGCCAGTGCCCTCTCCTCTCCCCGTTCTTCCAGACCCGTGCTCTGACCCTGCTGCCCCACCACAGCCCGTCCTCCCCAGCCAGTGTCTCGCCCTGGCTCTGCCTCCTGCTTGCTGCTCTGCCTATTCCTGTGCTCTCTCCGTATCCAGTTGGGGCCTGTGGCCCCTCTGTGTCCTGGAGCTCTGTGTGTCACACGTGGGGTCGTCTGAAGCCCTGGCCTGGCTCTGACCTCTGCAGCCACCGGCGTCTCAGCCCTGGACTGTGCCACACCACTCCCGCCCTGCCAGGCCCTCAGCATCGTGTCCTCAGGGAGCCTCTGTGGCCCGGCCTTCCCTGGGGG